TTCAAAAAATCCAATTCCATTAACTACCTATGTTAATCTCATTGAGTACTGAGTACTCAGAAGATCCTAGGTGAGGTGTTACTGACCCCTACACGGCATTTGCCATCCTACCAGCTTTATCTTTTCCCTATTTCTTGTTCTTTATTTCCAAAGTAACTTGAACATTTCCCCTTTTAAGCCAGTCTTGCCCAGAAGCTTCTTGCTTTTATTTCCCAAAGCACTTGTGAAACTATCACTCTTATAACAATGCAGTTTCCATTCTTATTTAGATACTATAACAGTTAAATTAATTCAATGTTTATTGCCATGTGCATCAATACAATTTTATTCTATGATATCAGACATGTTAAAGTCATTTAAATTTTTTCTTGACAGCCTGCACTTCATTTCCATCTTTGATGCATAGAGATGGAATATACTGATTGCTACAATACATTAGCTTTTGATTTTAGGCAGTTATTGGAAAATACAAAGATCAATGTCTTTGTTATTCTCTGTACCTTCCCATACCATAGTAAAGGCTTGAGAGTGGGTGGTCCTCTGAGTATTTTACCCAGGTCACAAAGGTCGATGGACCTTGAAATAGCTCAACACCAAGAGAAACTGAGGCCTTTATACAATCATCCACCTTGTACCTGTCAACACTCCAGCAACAGAGATATTTAGCAATAAAATTCCTCATAGATTGCAAACAGAATCCTGTCCCAAAATTTGTAGTGTTATTAACTCATACATGATAAGCTTCAGAAGTACCTGTGTCAGTAGAGTGGTCAGTCCTTATGATGCTTTGCTTGGATCCATAGGACAGAAATACCAGCTCCTCTGGACTTCTCTGACAACTGGACAGCTCTATGGCCCCTCCTTATATTGTATAACAGAGCACTGTTTGCACTCGACCTTTCTTCCTTCTCTCCTTCACAGATGGTGCCTTGCACTGTGGGCTGATGACTCTTGCAGCCTTCCCAGTCTCTCCTCTTATTTGCTGACACAGAGACCTTCCTTAATAAAACCGTGCATGTTTCATTGCACTTTGGCATCTGACCTAGATGGAGTAGAGTCTTAGCCTAAGAGGCCTTGAGTTAGCTGCTTTGATGTATTCCCGGGTCATAGTGCAGGATGGACAAGTGAGTCTTGCTTGGTGTCAGCACACTGTTTCCCCTGGAAGCAGGCCAAAGCTGCTCCAGACCAGGAACAGCCTTCAGGGTGAAAGACTGGCTTCAAAGAAAACTATTCCTCTGGGCTAAGCTTTCAAACCCTTAGTGTTTTGGAATGATTGTTTGAAATTCTTTTATATGTCATGGCCTGGGTAGTTCGCTTGAACAATATCTTTGCTTTTCTGTACAGAACAAATGTGACACATCTGGTTTTGATAGAGGAAAGCAAGGAGCTCTCATGAAGAGGGGGGTTAAAGGAAAGATTAGTAAGGAGAATCCTCCTGGGGAGAGAGTTGGAAGGGAGTGGGAACTGGCTCACATTAGTTCAGAAGAGCAAATATTGCAGACTGCAGCAGGATCACCAAATGGAGGGGGTATCTGGTCAGAGGAGAGGCTAGGCCAGGGACTCAGCCATGAAAGGAAGACTTTTCTTCTCTTCCCATCCCTTCCCTTCCTTCCTCTTTTCCTTTCCCTTCCCCCTTGCTTCTCACTTCCTTTTCCTCTCCTTCCCCCTTTTCCTTCCCTTTCCTCCTCTCCTCTCACCTCCCCTCCCTTTCCCTCCCCTCCCTTCCCCTAATTTGAGACAGGGTCTTGATATATAGCCCAGGCTGCTGTCCTCAAACATGTTATGTCCCTGACTCAGCCTTGAGAGTCCCAGGACTATAAGTTAAAGCAGCCAGCCTGCCTTCTTCTCCCATCTCTCCCTCCCTCTCCCTCACCCCCCTATCTCTACACACACACACACACACACACACACACACACACACACACACACACACTCCTTTCCACACTCATCACTCTTCAGTCTAAGTGCACAGAAGCTTTTGAAGCAGCAGAGATTCTGATGAAGCAGGCTACTTCTAGGTTTATGTTTAAACAGTTATAAGGTCATATTTATGTGTACCATAAGTAGGTGGTCTCTGGACTGGGGTCTACAGCAACCCTCCCTAGAAAGTTGGTCTGGGGTATATTTCAGTTGGAGATGCACAGAGGCAGAAAGAGATTGGGTGACATTGCAGAGGTGTTTTCCTCTATAAAGAAGCTGTTGCTGAAAACGTGATTATCAGGAAGAGTTGGAAAATATTAAAGAGATTTGTAAACTTTTCAATGCTGTTAATTCAATAATAACTTTATCTCAGTTAAAACCAATCCTCCCTGCAGATTGAGCACCAATCTAACAGGTGTCCTTCATCTTCTTCATGGTAGATGTAGGGTGATAGGCAAAGCTGCTTCAGTGTGCAGCAGCAATGATGACATGAGTATTGGTGGATACAACCCTTACATGAGTAGAGGTGAATACAACCCTTACATGAGTAGAGGTGGCTACAACCCTTACATGAGTAGAGGTGAATACAACCCTCACATGAGTAGAGGTGAATACAACCCTTGCATGAGTAGAGGTGGATACAACCCTTACATGAGTAGAGGTGTGTACAACTTTTACATGAGTAGAGATGTATGCAACACTTACTTGAGTAGATGTGGTCCACACACAGTAGCTTGCTGAACCTTGCTCCTCGGGCGTGGTGATTTGACATCATGACTTGAAAATAATTTTTAATAATTGACAAAATAATCTGCTCTTATTTATTTTTTACTGGATTTTATTTGTTTCTTGTGGGTGGGTGTAGGTATGAACACCCTTGCAGAGGTCATGCAAGTGTAGGTTCTCTCCTTCCACCATGAGGGTTCTGTGACTTGAACTCAAGTCATCAAGCATGGTGGCAAGTTCCTGTACCTGCTGATCTGCCTTACCTGTTTTTCATTAAGAAATAAGAATATATATTTCATTTGTAATTTTTATTCTTAAAACTTTCTTTGTCTGGGAACTTTATATATGCATACAATGTACTTCATTTTTGAAAGAAATTTACTTATAAGTATAGTAAAAAAGTCTTAAGTGCAAATGTAGTGAAATGACATAATTTCAGTGAACTTTTGTATTTGTGTACGTTTGTGTATGTTCAAGCACGTGCGGTTGCATATGTGTGAGCAGGGGTGTATGCATGTGTATTTGTGCATGTGTATGTAGGCCAGAGCTCAGGCTTTGGTATCTTCCTCAGGCATTCATTGCCTACCTTCGTTTTTTTTTTTTTTTTTTTTTTTTTTTGAAACAGGGTCTATCACTGACATGAAACTGGCCAGGGATTCCCAGGAATCTGTCTTCATCTCCTTCTGAAGTGCAGGGATTAGAAGCTACCATCCCTGGCTTTTAAAAGGTGGGTTATAGGGCTCAAACTCAGATTCTAATGCTTCCAAGGCAAACACTTTCCCAGCTCAGTGGACTTTAAATAAAGATATTTCTACTGGAGAGATGGCCATTGGGCTGGGAAAGCGGGGGTGGGTAGGGTGAGGGTGGGGTGAGGGGAGCTGGGAATGCTCTTGATTGAGGTTTAAGAATAGTGTTCACAGAAGCTTTGGAGGGATAAAAACCTATTAACCTAAACCTTCAATATCCCAACCTTTATCCTCTCTTCAGGGGCACTGGTTTAGTCTCTGGGTGTAGCTCATCTCCCACAGTGTGGTCCATGAAAATAGTTGCTATCAGGAGTGTCCATAGCCTGCTGTTTGTTATGTTGCTCAATGTTTGTGGGCATCAAATTGCTTTTGTATCTTTTACTTTTCAGTTCCAAGAAAATGTCTCTCACAACTGACACACTCCCTGTTATCAGATGAAAAAGATAAGCCATCACTGAGATTTGCCTTGTATACCTATAATGCCAAGGCTAGGCATAAGCTCAGTCACTGTGATATTTTTCTTCTGCTTGGGAAATATATTTTACTTCAATTTTTATTTTTGCAAAAATGTGATAGTTATTTTCAGTATTATTGTGTAGGTATTTTAAATTTAAATCTCTTCAAATTTTCTTTTTCTTTTGAGACAGGGTATCTCTAGGTAGCCCTGGCTGGCCTAGAATTTGCTATGTAGACCAGTCTGGCCTCAAGCTCCACCTGCCTCCTCAGTACTAGAGTTAAAGGTCTCTACCATTGCACCCAACTCAAGTATTTTTTTTTAATATAGCTGAAATGTAGACTTAATATTGTATGAAATTAGTCAGATTGTATTTGCAAGAAAGGTGCCATTTTCTACAATAGTGTCAGAAAACTTTATGCTAATGGACAGAACTAATCTTACAGTGAATAAAATAATCTTTTGCTAAGACTTTATCAAGTGTGGAAGTTTCAATAAATAAGCATATTGCATGTGAGGTTATGACATTTTTAGTTCCAGAGCTCATCACACTGAGCTCCAATAGGAGCTTCATTTCAAGACGGGTGGCTAAGGGCATGCTCCGTGACTGTCTGTCCCTCAGTGTCCTCTATAGAATAGGTAGCATAGCTCTACCTATATCATTATTGCTGTGAGAATTAAATGAAGTAATATATGATGTACACATAACACAATGTCTAATCTGTGAGATCCCATATTGACCTATATGTTATAGCTAGGGTATATTATTTTTAATCTTTGTATTTCTGTCAATATACAGGAACTGTGTCTGTTTGCTTAACTTGCAATGTGAAACACTTAAAGTAGTTGCTTTTGGTCTATTATTTTATTTTTGGCCACCAGTATTTCTGAGTACATTAAGACCAGAGTGTGCATAGAGACAGCATGGAGTTCAGTGTATGGGATTTGAATATCTACCACAGTTTAAACTGTTCAGTAATCTAACATATGTGACTTGGTTTTGCTTTTTTTTTTTTTTTTGAGACAGGGTCTCTCTGTAATCTTGGCTGTCCAGGAACTTGTTACATAGACCATGCTTGCTCCAAGCTCATCGAGATCTGCCTGTCTTTGCCTCCCAAGTGCCAGGATTAAAGGCATGAGCCAACATGCCCAGCTATGACTTGTTTCTTATTCTGCATAATTAGCTTTTTCATATAAATCAAAACTTGCTGTGTCTGAAAGCACTATCTACCTGTGTTGGTGTTATTGTATAATACTGTTTGGATACTGATGAATTCGAGGAAAGAGTATGATGATAAAGATATTCCATGACCTTAATTTTAGTTTTATATCTAGCTGTAATTCTTCTAATCTCCCTATTAGTTCTCCTACTTGCTCTCCTGAATTGTAAAAATTATAATATAAATGTAATTTCTTTAGTCTTTTTTTCAAAGAGACACTGATAAATGAGAGGCACTGATGGACAAAAGTGTTATGCTGACAGATTAGAACCATTGAAGTTGGAAAAAGAAGGCTAGAACAACAGCCAAAAGCCCCAGGATTTTGAGCAGGAAGGATGCTGGGTTGTTGGATGAAGGCTGCAGAGTGCGGGTTTTTAAGGGCTTCAGAATTCTCTGCTTCTGGGTGAGGATGGCATTCCTAGCTCCTTCCCACTGCCCAGGTCCAACCAGGCGGTACTGGTAGGAATTGCAGGGCCCAAAGTAGAGTTTCACAGCCAGTTTAGGATCTTTGAAAAAGAGAGAGACGAGGTCTGGTTTCGCACCTATCTCCAAGGCAAGTTCATCCAGGTAGTCAACATAATTGGTCTGCAGTATCTGGCTCTGGCTTTTTCCAAACCTTAATGAAGTAAATAAAAAGGGCAGATTCATAAAAGGTCCCAAGTTATATCTTAATACGAGTTACTCAATAACTGTTTAAAGAATAAAGGAATGAATGCATGAAGGCATAAGTTTTGAATGAATGTCTGGGTGGCTCCTTTAGGAGGTTCACATCTCAGATTAATGAATAGACCACAAAGTAGACAAATTCATGGAGATTCTAGAAATCTAATGATGTTAAAATGGTGACTATTATTTATTACTTATTAAGCTGCTGTAAGTCTCCAAGTCAGATTGTTTGACTCAGTATTGATACAAATACTCTTGAGGTATCAGAGAGGAGGTGTCTTCCAGAGAAGGGATGTACTTTTCTTGTTAAACTGCTAAAGTGCCCAGTAGTCTGGCTGGCATGTGGTAGATACTCAACCTATGTTAGATGAGTTAAAATTTGCAATGCTGTAACTCCTTATCTCTGTAAGGTCTCGAGTCAGAGTTGCGTGAGTATTGATTACTATCAAACTCAAAACCTGATCCCACTTCAACAAAACTGACAAACCAGATATGTTTTGAGAGTGCCTCTGGTTACTGTCACCACCACTGCCCCATCCCATTCCCTGAGTGTGGGTGGCCTGAGCAGGTAGGGAATCTCACATGGGCATCATAGAAAAAAGAAATAAGATTGACCTAAAGAAAGATATTTTGAATTGGCTTCCTTCCTTCCTCACTCCCTCCCTTCTTCTGTCTCTCTTCCTTTCCCTCTTTCCCTCCTTCCCTCCTTCCCTCCCTCCCTCCCTCCCTCTCTTCCTTCTTTTCTTCCTTCCTTTTTGAGGTATGAGTTATTAAACCAGCATGTCTAAGAATCATATGAAAAAGGTATCACCTTACAAATTTCCAGTCTCATTTACATAATGGACTCATTTGGACTGGGTTGTGATCCAGGACTACATCTTTAACAGCTAGCTATCTCTCATGGGCAGTCAGAGCATGGTATCTGTGACACACTACTCTATGTAGACAATATATTATAAGGAAAGTGCTTACAGGTCAATTCTTTTTTCATTCCTTTCAACAATGTCCACCTTCATAGTAGTCTCTGAGGGCAAGCTACACAAGCCTAGAAAACAAAAACAAACTTGCTTTGAAGAGTGAGTTTGATTTGATATTGTTGATTTGTATAATAGTTGTTTTCTAAAATTAAGTGTTGGCCATTTATTTATGTCATACCTCTGTGCTTCTGAACTCCAGAGGTGAGAATTCCCTAGTGGATCATAGCCAGTGGCATTAACTAGGAACTGAAGAGGCCAGAGAAAGAAAGGGCTGAAGCGGGGAAGCATGCTTAAGAAACTATGTCAGGTGGGGTGGGTTCTATCCTTACACTGACAGGACCCTGTAGAAGACTTTGCTGTGTGAGGCAACAAGGTTAGATTTACCCATTGGAAAGATCCATCTAGCTCTTTGGTTGAGGAAAGAAGGCTCTAGGGAGGTGAACTTACAATTAGGGAGACCAGGTAAAAGGGTGTTGAAGGAAATCAGGTGATAATGAGAGGGGCCCCATACTGAGAGTAGTTCAGAGGGGAAACATGGCCAGCCGTTTAGCATCACAGACCTAAGTAGTCTGAACCTGAATTTGCCCTTGAGACTCACTAGACTCTATTCTCAGGCACAGCTCTCTATCCAGCCTCCAGTGCTAGGTCCTGTAAGCCATCCTGGATCCTCTTTCTTGTGTTGGCTTTGGCTCTGACTATTTCTAGCCTGCATGTTCTCACTTCCATTTTGTCTCTCGACTCTGGCCCAGGCTGCATTGTATTTTAGCACAGGTGAGTACTATCGCTTTCTCAGTGATCTTCAAGTCTCTACCCCTGAGTTTTAAATATCTGTTCCCTCCCTCCTTTCCTTCCAAGAAAGTCTTTCTAGAAGTCCTAGCTAGATTGAACTTGCTATGTTGCCCAGGATGCCCTTAAACTCTCATCCATCCTCCTGACTCAAGGGAACTGAAATTACAGGCCTGGCAGTACTTGAAACGTAGAAGTAAGAGATCTTGAGTTCAAGGCTAGCCTTGGCTACATAGCAAGTTTGAGGATAACCTTGATTACATTAGATTCTTTCTCACTCCTCTGCTGCAAAACAAAAACAAGGGGGGGGGGGGAACCAAAAAAAAAAATCTCACAGCTGTCTGTACATTTACATTTTATAATCCAATATCCTTAACACAGGGTAAAAAGCTTTTGTGTCCATCTGCCCTTCTCTAAGATTAACCTGCTATCCTATTCCATCTCACACATTGGTAATGTGGGGCTTACCATTTTCTACAGGCATCCTGTCTCTGTGTCCTTTGTTCAGGCAAACCCTTCTCTGTACCTGATAAACTCAGACTTCAGGAAGCTTTCCTGGACCTAGTGTCATCCCACCAAGTTCTTTCTCTGCCACCAAACCACTTGTCATGTTATTAAAACAACTTGTTTACATTTCTTTCTGACTGACCAGATCCCAGCACAGGCTCGGTGGTAAATGAGGTTTTTGTTGAACAGAATTGAACTCCAGAAGCACGAAAAATAAATAGCCTTTCAAGGAAGGTGAGGTGCTGTACAAATGAGAAAAGACAACCCTTTAAAAACATTTAAAACTTTGTCCCTCGAGATGGCTCAGCAGGTAGAGCCATGCCAGTGTGTAGGCCTGACAATCTGATCTTCGGGTCCCACAAGGTGGCAGCAGAGAACCACCTGCCCGTAGGGTAGCTGTCTGTCCTTTGGTCTCTACCACAGATCTGCCTCCTGTCCAATAAACAGTTTTTAAAATGAGGGAAAGAATGTAGAAAACTCTGCTAGGTTGAGCAACCCACTCACCTTTGAAAACTCTTGTTGCCCATCGCGCCTGAAGCTCCACAGTTGGGAAGATGGATCCTAGAGGCTGGATAAGACCTATGCATGCAAGGGTTGGCTTCTCCAGGTGAGGGGGGAACATGGATTTGTACAGCGAGACCCTATTATCCTCCACTTTCACAAGGGACTCTTCAAGGAAAGGGAAAGAGAAAGTGTAGCCAGTGGCAAAGACAATGACATCAATGTCTTCCTCCACGGTGCCATCATCAAAAACCGCAGCAGTCTCTGTGAGCTCCTTCACTCTCGTTTTCACTCTGATGGCTCCATACAGCACCCGACTGGGGAGATCGTCGTTTAGCACAGGTTCTTTCATAAGGTATCTGAGGCACAAAAAAGGGAAGAATACACTCAGCGAGGTCTTTGATTGAGGAATCTTCAACCCACTTGACGGTTTTAGGGGTTTCTCTGAAAAAATACAGGAGTTTCCCAAATACCCATAAATTCTAACTCAACTATTTTGCCCACCCCAAGCTTTGTCATTCTAACATCGACAGTCTCTTCCTTTGATAAACAAAGACAGGCAAATAGATAACAAAAGTATCTCCAGGGGCTCAGATATGATGCCAGCCCTATTGTTAACCGTTGAGTTTGCTGGTCATTGTTGCCCTCTGGTACCTCTGTCACTTTTTTTTTAAATTTAATTTATTATTTTACATGTCCATCCCAGTTCCCTCTCCCTCCCTCCCTCCCTCCCTCTCTCCCTCCCTCCCTTCCTCCCTCCCTTCTTCTCTCCCTTTTACCCTTTCTGCCCTCTCACATGCACTCTAACCACCCTCCCCTCCCATCCCCCCACCCCAATTCCATATGTAGGGGAATGCCATCCAGTTGGGGTCATGTAAATATATAAACACTGAGTCGAAGTAGAACCCAGATGCAGATGGAGAGGACAAGACCAGGCAGCAGAAACACATAGAGACAGCTTACCTGAACAAGGAGGAGCTAACGGCCACTAGACTGATAGCTGGGAAGCCAGCATGGGACTGACTCGGGCCCCCCTGAATATGGGTCTCAGCCAGAAGGACTGAGCAGTCTAAGAGACCTCAGACAGTGGAGCCAGGATGTATCCCTGGTGCACAAAAGGACTTTGCAAACACATCCCTTTGTCATTTCTTATTACTTGGTAGTTTCATTTAATCTCTACCCAGTGATAAAGGAAAACATACTACATTAGCACTGAGAGTTACTGTGGATCAATGATGAGAATCAATGTGTAAAATGAAATTTGCTGATATCTACTGACCCCCATATCCATAGAAACTCTGTTTGTGGTGGCATGGATGGTGGAGAAAAGTCTGCTTGTATCTCTGGAGCTGTTGGTTTGTAAACAGTTTTCTTCTCTTTTAAAAATAAAGCAATATATGCCATATGTGCTGGAATCTTAATTCAGCATAATGCAGCATCTATTATAAGACTCTAAACATCTCCCCCCCTCCTCTGGGGAGGGAGACTGTTACCAAGTGAAGAAAGGTAAACATCTACAATGTTTACTTGTGCTTACAGTATCCAAGATGTGTGACTTTGATACCAGCAAATATTTGCCTTTTGGCCAGGAGAAAGGATGTGTTCTCATGGGAACAGCCTTCAGCAGATAGGAACAGCAACAGTTGACTTAGCAGATGAATAGCTGGCTTTTCCTATCACAGTGCTCTGAGCAGAACCCAGTTTTCTTGAGCAGCCTTCTCCAAACTGTTAGACAATTAGTCCTAGCCTGCTGTCTGGAGCAGCTTCCAAGCTTCCAACCCATCCTTTTCAGTATTATTATAAAGACACAGAGTACAAATTTGGAATTAAGACCCCAGGACCAATACGACTACACATACTGTTGGGTCATTGCTTGAGCTACCATGCTAGCAAATTGGATCTTTGCAAAGAGAGGCAACATCAGACAACCTAATAAGCATACCACAAAAGAAAAATAACACTACTTGTTTTGAGGCACCAGGCCATAATTTTCATGGTTGAACCAACGATTCATTTGCTGTTCCATCATCCACTTGACAACTGTTCGTGGTAGGACATTTCGGAGCATGGAGCTGAATCTAGTGTGGAACACCATGTCCCAAGGGTAGCCATCTTCAGAGATTCGGCTCATGACCCAGGCACCATGCCTGGTGCTGATAAACACCTGGTGAACAGAAAGGAATGTAGCTGAAGTATGGGCTTTGGCCTTTTGGGAGGAATCTCTTGTACAGGTGATATGAAAGATTTTGTGTAACACTTGACTGAGTTCTATATAGTTTATTAACTTGTGTGCAGTGTATGTGTGTTCATGTGTGAAGGTGTGTGTATGTGTGCATGTGTGTGTGTGTGTGTGTGCATGCTTGCATGCATGTGCATCTATGTGTATGTATAAGGATGCCAGAGGTCAACCTTGAGTATTATCCATCTTGGTTAGAGACAGGGTATCTCATTGGCCTAGAGCACACCAATTAGGCTGGCTGTCCTGTTCATAGGATCTCTAGAACTGGAAGGTATGCACCATGAAACTTATCTTCCTTCCTTTCTTCCTTTCTTCCTCTCTTCCTCTCTTCCTCCCTCCCTTTCTCCCTTCCTTCCTTTATTCCTTTCTTCCCTCCCTCCTCCCCCTTCCACCATTCCTCCCTCCTCTCTCTCCCTCCCTCCCTCCCTCTGTCTCTTCTTTCTTTTTCATCATTTAATAATCTCATACATTTATATAATAATGAATTTTAGTCATTTCCTTTCCCACATTTCCCTCTCTGGTTCTGGGGTTCAAGCCCAGGTTCTCTGCTTGTGAAGAAATCACTTTATCTGCTAAGGTATCTCTCCATCCCTCAGGTTCCATTTGAAGAGTATTTGACCCCAAAATGAGGTCCTCCTAGCCTCTTCACTTCTCTTTGTCAACTAGGTCCTGATGAGGGCTATTCAGTAACGTGCACTGATAGAGGAATGCACCAACACCCTGATAATGTCCTGGAGATGTGAGGAAACCTTTGGATGAATTTCCAGGATTAGTTGACCAGTCTCTCCTGTGTCCAGATGTGCCCTGCTGCTCTCTAAGAAACAACATCTCTGTCCTTTCACTGTACCTCCCTGAGGAGACCTGGTGAATAACCATAGGCCTTGCAAACGTGTGCCTACTGTGTAATGGCTTCAGGCATGCATGTAGGGATCCACTATCTCTGGAATAAAGAGCAATCACCTCTTTCCAGACCTAAAAGAAAATTATGTGTTTTGAAAGCTAAAACCTCTTTCTGCTGGTATGCTGGGGCTCTATTCCTCTCCAACTACACATCTTTATAAAATTATTTTTATGTTTTGAGGTTATAGCTATATCATTCTCCCTTCCCTTTCCCCTCTTTTGTTCCTCCCATTCTTCCTATGCGTACTGTGATTCCATTCCCTTTCAATTAGATGGCCTTTTTTTCATTTATTGCTGTTGTTGTATGTGCTCTTTGCCCTGAACATTAAAATTTCTCTTGTTTTCAAAATATACATTTAAAAATCTCATCAAAAACGCATTCCCCCTGTTTACTGCTGTTTTCCCATGGTTCAAATGCATCATTTCAGCTTCCCAATTTTTTTTTGTCTCATTTTATTAGTTCTGTTAAGATTGTCTTCAATAAATAAGCAAGACTCATTTGCAAGGCATCCAGTTTACTCAAGATGTCTAGATCCTGGACTCTAGGTCTAGACTCTTTAGGTTTGAGACAGCCCCACTCACTACCTATGAGCCTTGGTGTGTTATTTGGATTGCTCTATGCTCCAGTTTCCTTTTAAAGATATTTTTTAGAATGGGGCAGTATAGCATCTGTATTAGGACATTATTGTACAGGTTAAATGATGTTATAGATGTACTGTGAAGTATAAGCACAAACTCTCATTGTTTGGTAGATTCACCTTAAAGGAGGCATTACCAAGGCCACTTGCATAAAAACTAGGCCTTCTGAATCAGAAATATCTAGTTGAAACATCCCATTAAAAAAAAAAAAAAGACAGCTTAGAGAAGTGGAGCAACTGTCTCTAGGATACATATCTAGTTAGCAGCAGTGGGAGCTAGACTGGTTTCGTGGCTTCCAGAGTTCCTTTGCTTTCACAACACAGTCACCCAGCAAGCAATGGACCTTTGCTGTACAGCTGGGATCTCCAGTTGTGTCTCCCACCCCTTCCATACAAAACAAGATAAGTAAAAGCATCACACCTGTGAGGCCTTCTTACTGAGTTCAGAGGCAATGTCTGAGGCCGAGTTGCCTATTCCAACAACCAGGATGCGTTTCCCCTCAAACCCATCTGGGTGCTTGTACTGGCGACTATGGAAATACTGCCCTTTGAACCTCTCGATACCTTCAGGAGGAAGAAGGGGGAACTGTGAACTTCCAAGGAAGCAACTATGACAAGTTAATTTCAATAAAACAGCATGGTCCATTTTCCCTTTTCGATTTCTCACATCTTCTTTGATAGGAGTTACAATAGTCAATTACCAAACTCTAAGTAAAAATTCCATAAGAAATATTAGGTTCATGTGCGAGGCTGGAGTATGTGTGTTCACTAGTAGTCAATAAATGGCTTTGCTGTTAGAGAATTGCCTGGTGCTGGTTGGCCTGGTGCTGGCTTCTCACTAGCTATTTTGTTTTGGACAGTCTATGACACTCTAATTTCACATCATACATACATTTAAGAACTATTTTGAAATAGTGTTAATGTAATTGTACAATAATTAAAATAGTATTTATCCTTTTGCAAAAGCAAATAACCAAAAGACTAAGCCCGGGCTTACAGAAATTGCTCATTAAGTGACTCAATAATCATTTGATTGCTAACCATTTATGTTCCTCTTTGTCTCCTTCCAATGAACCCCTTTTCTACTTCCCAGTAGTAGATGGCCTTATTAATGTGTTCTTTGCTTTTAGCGTGGGTAACTCTCATATGAAGCCTGCTTCTAACCCACTGTGATTGATACTTTCCCCAAGGATTCTGGGAAGGAAGTCTTCTTTGTGACTCCTTGTCTAGGGGATGGTTCATAATTAGGAAGTAACCTCAGAGAGAAAGCTGGAGCAACAGGACAGCTGACTTCAGGGACCTACTCCTGTATTCCTCCTTCATCTCTGTCCTGCCTGAATGTGTATTTCTAGGAATTCTCTCTAGCAAACCATGGCTGGTAGAAAAGGCTCCAAAGATACATGGGTTTGGCAGGACATGGCAATCTGGGTAGGCATATGGCTAAAAGGTCCTTTTCCAGAGAATGAATTTTTGTGAGAATTCTTTGAGTTTCTGGGAAAATGTAATGATGTTGGAGGAAGTTAGCCCAGCTATGTACAGAGACCCAGAGAAAGCAACAGAAACAAAGATGGTGTTGGCATTTTCCAACTTTCCCATTGTATCATTCCCACTTCACCATCCAATCTTACTATCATTCCCATTCCTAGCAGCAGATCCTGCCTGTCCATCTAAACTCCGTGCAAGATTCTTGGAAGCCCACTTCTATAGGCTGAGAAGCCCTGTAGCCTCACCTGGAAACGACTTCAGTGGCAGGTGAGGTTGGATGTGATGGCCGCTGCAAACCATAACTGCGTCAAAGACAGCACGTTGCTCCTTGCCATTGCTCTGAGTAGAAACTTCCCATTGCCCAGAAGATGCAAAATCTGGACGTTTTCTCACACTAATGACGGTTGTCTTTAACAAACATAGAGAAGGACTTATTAATTACTCTGGCAGGGCCCTGGAAGTAAGGATGGGGTGAGTGTAATATGTAACCCATTTAATTTTCTTGAGTCCACTGCCGGCCTCTGAAGGCAAACTTTGCCAAGTGGGTGCTTCTTATTCTTTGGCAGGCAAACAGAGGATATCCTTAGAAGATATCATTCACAGGATGGCTCTACCAGGAATTGGAGAGGGAACCATAGGAGAGGTAAAACTAGACATCTTAACAGGATTTACAAATACAGATTTCCATGAAGATCAGCTGTTATGTTAATATAACACAAGCCTGACGCTTACAAAGATGAAGTTGCTAAGAAAGTGAAATGTATTGAAAATGAGCTCCATTAAAGTTATTTATCCAGAAATGTAATTTCAAATTTAACAATGCTCCATGCTTAATGGTAGCTTGTTTCTTGGCTGTTCCTCTTTGTAGAAAGTACAGAAAATGGTAATTTCAAATATAACTCAAAATGATCTGCTCATCTCTCTTTTGCAGCAGATTACACACACACGTGCACCCGAGATAAATGGAAAGTAGAAAGTGTGTTTAACACATTTCTATGAAGGATTTTTAAAAAAGAACAGTTTGAGGCTATTTCATATATCCTTTCAAGAGGTATGAGGCTAGGAGAAGTCAATGGTAGCAATGGTTTAAATATAGTTTAACATTATTTTTATCATCATTTAAACTTTCAATTTTAATGGGTGGTTCCTCAAGCCCTCCCCCCCCATTCATGTGTACCATCAAAAAGATCAAGATCAATGGGATGTAATGCCATTCTTTTACCTTTTAACAGACCAAACAAAAGTGTGATAGTTTATTTTAATTTCTTTCATTGTTTGAGTCAGTTTTCTATTTCAGTGTGAATTGAGCTAAGGCAGAGAAATCCACTTCCCATCACACATGGTACCTGAAACTGAATATATTTTAGGAGATCAAACTTCTTGGCAAAAATCCTGAAATATTCCAGGAGTTTAGAGTTGTGCAGGAAATTGGGGAAATCTTCAGGCATTGGGAAGTCACTGAAGCAGGACATTTCTTTGCTGGTGTTGGTGATGACAGAGTGATAGATGCTTGCTCGGCCATCTTCCACGTTGTCCTATAAGAGCAAGTGAAATAATCACTGGCAATGGCTTTAATAGTAGTCTTACTGGTGTTAAAAGTCTTCTTCCAGACTCTAACCCCTGGGTGAGTGATGTGACTCTCTTTCCCTGCTGTATCAGGACCAAAATGTCTGGGTGCATAGGGATAGCATATGTGCCCCATCAGTCAGTGTGGTGAACCTGCTTGTTGCCAACTAGTGCTGCTCAATGGGTGTGCTGTTGACCCTGGTGAGGTTTTCAGTAGAGACAAGTTTGTCTTGTCTTGTCTTGTCTGTCTGTCTGTCTGTCTATCTAAGGCATATTGTAGAATATTAGAATATTTAATTTAGTATTCTATCTTCCTACTTACTTAAGGCCAAACTTTGTGAACCAGTTGCCTTCTTAAATTCCCCTAGGGAGGCTTTATTTACCATCTGCCCTTTAAGGACTAACAATTCCCGGGACACTGGATACAGAATTTAAAATAAAATGAGTGGTTTTTGGAGTAGGGAGCTTTACATCTTGATTTGATTGCATAGTTCTCTATTTTGTGCTTAATTCAAGTCAGTCTTCCTTAAGTGATAAAGGGGATAGCACTGTCACCAAATATCATAGTTTTTGTCAACTTGATACACATTCAGACATACCTGGAGAGATAGAATCTCAACTGAGGATGGACTCTTGGGTATATCTGTAGGGCCTTTTCTTGACTGCTGATTGATGTATGGGGGGGTGGGTGGGTTAGGGTGGGATAGTCCACTGTGGATGGTGTCAGATCTGGATAGGAGGGCCTGATCTGTATAAGGGAGCAAGCTAAGCAGTCAACAGCATCTCTCTATGGTCTCTGCTTTGTTTCCTGACCCCAGTATCCTGCCTTGAGTTCCTGCCTGGCTCCCCTTGATGATGGAGACTATAATCTATAGGCTTAAATGAACCTCCCCCAAGTTGGTTTCAATCAGTGTTTTATCATAGAAATAGAAAGCAAACTAAGACACCAACCAGATCTCAAACCTGATTTTTAACGTTCACAATTGTGCCTTGCTAAAAATCCCTTAATGCACGTTATGATTCAGTTAATATTGTCTTCTAAAGTCATGCTTTACGAAATGTCCTTCATGTAAATTTATGTAAATAAATAGCCAAGACTGGTGATCAGAGACTGAATAACCCTATGATCAGAGAGGTGTTTATTAGAAAATTTAAATAATGGTGACTAAGAGCTCTTCAGTGGATGCTTCTGTGCATACAAAGACTAAGCTATAATCCAGAGAAAGAGTAATTGCCATTTGACTATTCATTAGAGTGGCTGTAAAGATAGTAAAGATTTTAGAAATTCATCAACTGAAAGTAGTTACTTAATTTTACTTGTATGGCACCATAGTGTCTTCTGTAGAGAAGTTTAAAAAGAAAAATAATCACTTGTAATCTGACCAGCTTTTTAAATCAAGTACATATGTATCTTTCTTACATTTTTTTTTTAAAATAGAAAATTAGTCCTTTGCCTGCCATGTTTTTCAGTTCCTTAGTTCTTGATACCATCAAAAATAGTCATGTGAGATGGGCATGAGCTACATAATGAACATTAAGCCAGCCACAGGTAGATAGCATGACTCCATCTCAAAAATACATACATAAAGAAACAAAACAGAACAAAACAAAAAAATATGAAAGAGGTAACCAGGGCTAGAAGAAGATGAACTTAGTCTTCATAGTTAGGTGTGGGTGTCAACACATCTCTTTCTCTTTAAAGAGAGAAGTCTGGACCAATCTGTTCCTCTCATCTGTGAGACTCCTTATATCTAAGGAGTGCTCCGTAGTATGAAGAATGCCCTTGAACCTCAGCATTGATTCTATCAAAGCCCCCTGTGGTGCTGAAGGCTAATTTGGATATCAGCTACTCCAGTGGTATAAAAGAACTGGTGTAGTAGCTCGCTGTTACACATGGGTATTCTGCAAGAGGTTGTACATGGTCTTGGAGAGTTAAAAAGAGCAAGCTCATGTGATTTACTGTTCACAGTCTAAGCAGAAAATACTCTTTGTAGTGGGCTTCGCTGTGTCTTAATATCAGGCTTGTCAACAACATATTACTCACTCTTAGAGCAGGTTGTTTAAAAGAAATACTTAGAATTGTTGCTAAATATAGATTTGCTTATCAACATTTTTCTCCCTTACAATACCTTCTTCTTCCCTCTTTTATCATTCATCCATCATTCACAATTTGTTTATTCTCTCATGGCTATGCTCAGACTTACCCATTAGTAGTGTGCTAATTTTTCCTGGACTATAATCTAAACTTGGATAATAAATGTTCCAGTTGCAGGTGGCCTGGGCAAAGGCAAATAGCCTTTGGACAATGCTGAGTCTCCAGACAGAGTTCATGATTCTGTTATTGTGACTATATATATGTATAGAACACAAAAATGCATTTCAGTAAACTGAAGTGTTTTCTGACTTTCGCACAGGGATATGATGACTTGAATATTGGATTTTATTTTCAAACACTAGCTTCAAACTGTGCAACACTACAGTTATATTGATGCATAAACATTTTTTTTCCTGGTTGTTTGGGCACAATTGAATATAATGTCCTTGGCAAGGCAGAATACTGGGTTTTCTATCCAACTAGAATCTTAAAATAGGAAATACTCCATTAAGAAATGTGTTTTCCCCCTCTCAACACTACCTAATTTTGAGTAGTGCTGAGTAAACAGCAAGGGTTCTATGAATGTCCCAGTGGGGCTAGTCCCTCCTGCCTCTATTCATGCTTCTGAAAACATGCACAAGTTACACAATTCAGTTTCTTCACATTCCTCTGTCAAATGGACTTCATTCATAGCCCAAACATAAAGCAGTTATTCTGAGGTTTACAGAGATTAGGCAAGGTACTTAGCACAATGCTTAGCTCCAAATACATGATAAGTCAATGTTTGTCTCTCTCACTATTGCTACAGACCACCAGGGTGAACCTCATCAAGGCAGAAAAATACTACACCTATCTGAACCAAGACTGTTCCATGGTAGCCAAAACATTAGGACTTTTCAAGAATCAAAACTTTGCCTAGAAGCATGATTGGACTCTCTGTCAGGTACATTTTTAAAAGAGGGCCTAAGGATGGAAAAGATTCATTCTAATTTCTGATTCTTAACACAAATTTTTAGGGCTAGACTGAAATATTCTTTGGAAGTTTCACTTTATAGATTATCACCAATAGTGATGGTATCACAAATCTTTTTTCTAAGGAGGAAGTGATGATCTTTATTGTAGATTTGATTGGTAGAAACAGTTTCTTGACAAAAGCAGTGTATGGTTGGGGGTAGTAGAACATTTATCTAGTGTGTCTAAGGCCTTATTTTTCCCTTTGGGACAGGGTATCTGTGTAGCCCTGGCTGTCCTGGAACTCACTTTGTACACAAGGCTGTCCTCTAACTCGCAGATATCTGCATGCCTCTGCCTCACGAGTGCTGGGAGTAAAGACATGTGCCACAATGCCTGGCTGCCAAATTCTTTATAGGTGCTTCCTCATTTATTTAGTTGGGTGATGTAGAAGTCTGTGTTTAGATAGGTAAAATTGGCATGCTTTTCATAGTTGCAAATGGACAATGATGAATGCTGACTTAATAATGCTTATTTGGCCTGGACTAAGTGGGGAGTTGGGGTCAGGAAGTAAACAATACAAGAAAAATTTTGTCTTTGTGGATCTTATTACTGTATTGAATTCAAATGCACCTGGGCTTTGGAGCTGTAAGAGTGAAGACAGAGGGAGGGAAGGCTAGACAGAAACAGATAGCGCATCTTCAAAAGTGGTAAACCCCACCCCTTGTTGGCCAGGATGACTGTGACTTAAAGTGATATTTATGCAAAAATATAAATAGTCTGATCATGCCAAAGTTTAGTTTCCTATTCAGCCACTAGTGAGGAAAATCGGGAGATCTAACCCTTAAATGTATGAAGAAAAATAACGCATGCCAAGTGCTTCTTTGCTGGAAGAAGTGCTAAAAAAAAGTATTTAATTATTACCTGCCTGTATCCCAAAGATGACACCAGGGGGTGCTGGAGAACCTCCTGGAAGAATTCAGTATCACCGAAGCCAGGCAAGGCACACAGATTTAAAGTTTTTGGTTTTGTTTTTAAATTAGCACTAGATGTGTCAAGTGATCTCAGAGGATTCAGTGTCAATGTGGGAATCAATTTGCACTAGTTTAGGATGATATAGTTTTGAGGAGAGGCTTCCCTGGGGATGAACACGGGAGCCCCCAGAATTCTTTACCTAAGATGCTCATGGGGTCCCAGTACCCAAGATGCCATGGGGCCTCAGTGGCAGCCTGTGAAATTTGTTTAGTGTTTCTCTCAGCAGGAAGGAAGTCTTTGAGAAGAGAAACTTATTTATCATTCTCCATTGGATATAGTCTTGAGAGAGGCTTGTCATGTGTCATTATTATGGGCGCTAGGAAATTATGTTTTTAATGTTATCCAACAAGCATTAATTAGTTCATATTTTAATCTATTTTGTCCAAAATACATAAGAAACTATATCTGATTTTAAAATGTGATATACTGGGGTTGTGGAAATGCTATAGGAACCACCTTCTGGGAATTCATTAAATCATATTGTTGACAGGCCACTGAAAGGAGCTTTTACCTTTTTGGATTACAAATTAGTGACAAATAAGGAGCACTTTGTACCGAGATATTAAGTCTTACACATTAAATCTGTTATGGGGCCATCGAAATGGCTCTCTGGGTCAAAGTCCTACTGTACAAATCCAATGATGTGAATTCAATTCCTGCAACCCATGGGAGGGGGCAAGGAGAGAACCAGTTCTACAAAGTTGTCCTCTGGCCTCCACACACACGTGACACTGAGGCATCCAAGCTCACATATCATGCACGAACACATGCACACGTGCACACACACACACACACACACACACACACACACTAAATAAAAGTTAAATTAGTTACAATTTAAACCTACTTAGATACAAATGAATAGCCTGTGTTTGAACCCACAGTGAAGAAATTATCAATTAAGACAGGAATATATTATGTTACTTTCTCAGGAAAAGTTGTAATATTAGCAACCGGTGATTATTAAGATACAGGCATAATTGCTCTCTGTAAAGCCACTCATATCATATAAAGATAACTTCTCCATCATTAACTCTGTGATTGCACAGTTGGATGAGTGAGTATGAATATATTTTCATTAAGCACCTCTCCACCCTTTGCCAAGCTTTCTCATTATTGTAGGATTCATGTGAGACTTGAATGCCTTTCTTCAGGAGATTCTGATTCTATATGTCTGGTAATGAGTATATTTTCTGATTGAGGCAGAGTTTTGTCATGTAGCCCAAGCTAATCTCAAATTTCCAATCCTCCTGCTTCACCCTCTTGAGCGGTGGAACACTAGACCTGTGCTACCCCTCTCAGGAATGAATGCAAATACTTACATTCACAAGCCATAAGCCTATTTAGTTGTCTGTGAATCTGTCAATAAAAATTTGAATGACAGCTAGTAATATGAAAAATTAGGTTGGATAAATAGAATGACTTTAATTAATAGAAAATGTCTAACAAAGAGGTCCACAGCAGTTATACTAGAATATGACCAGAAAAGCTCAGTAAACAAATGTGATTTATTTCCAGAGAAAAACAAAGTCAGAAGTGATAAGGACCCGTTCTCTGAAGAAACATTTGGCTCAATGATTAGGACAGAAGTAATGTCTTAAAAATAACTCTATTTCTATTTTATAAAATACTTTCTAATATTAGTGTGCCATCTACTTAGTTTATCCAAAAAATGACAAATATATGGGCTGTTTTGAAATTAGCTAGATTTTAAAGGATTCCTTAAGGCTCTGAGTTAATCACATGGGTTGGCACAGCATTGACCTGGGAGAGAGGCCAACTTGAGTTCAGTTCCTGGTTAGCTACATAAATAAATAAAAACAAAATTGGATCAAAGCTGCTTAAGAAATCTTGCAAAGGCACATTAGCCAGCTTGAAATTGTAGTGTTCCCTGGTCTGAGATAGAAAAGTCACACTTACTTTGAATCTCCACAGTCCTCCGATGTCTTCAGTCCTTTCAAAGCAAGTGGGCTCCAGACCCTCATCCACACAGCACTTCAGAGAGATCAGGCCACTGACACCTGCTCCAATCACCGCAACCTTTTTTGCCATTGTCTTCTGTCAATGAGTCAATCAGACATTACTGCTTAACCAAGACAAAGGTAAGCAAATCCTCCTCCGGTGTGGTCAGGTCACACTAGTGGTGGTAACTTAATAAGCAGCACTGATTAAATAAAATGCCTCACTAATCAAATCTTCATCTCTCCCTCCCCTTAGGAGAAACTTGTCTGGTCATATGACCTTCATTGTAAACTTGCTTACCATGTCTTGGCTTAATATTAAAAAGTAATCCGCTTAAGCAAGCCAAGTTACTCAACAAAAACAGTCCTGGGGTTGTGAACCAAAGCCAGTTGTATTCTCTGGAGTTCTGAGCACTTCCTTCTTAGCCTCTCTGCCCGGGTGCCATCCTTACCTTCATTTGTGCTTTTCAGCACTGTCCCTTTGGCAGAAGAGTTTCCTCTGTGGGTGGTGTGCAGAGAGATGTGAGCTTTTAAGAGATGGAAGAGGCTGGGAGAAGTGGGAGGAGCTTTCTTCTTCCTGAGCACTGTGCCAGTTGACTCTCCAAGGACATTATTAGTACTGAGATTAAGCAAGAGGACCACTTGCAAAGGTCAAGATGGTCTAAAGTTTAATGGTTAAAGCATACAGACAGTCTAAAGTTTATTTTTGTAGTCAGCGTAGGAAATGTGCATTGACAAATTGAAAAGAGTAAATAAGGAAAAAGAAGTTAAAACTGTCCCTACTGTTACTATCCAGACATACCTACAACCACCATCAACATTTTTGAAAGTTATCCCACCTATACATTGTATGCATGTGTGTTCCCATGCTAGAGGAGGGACCAGAATGATAATTTTTAAAGATGAAATGAGCTGTGGATGGGAAGAGAGCCATTGGGGAACAATAAAGCACAGAGGGAGCTGTGTAGTGTCAAGGTGAAGGGCAGTTTTATAATGTTAAGAGTTCAGGGAACATCATTTTCTCTAAAATGTCCCAACCTAAATTTAATCAGGATAACAGATGACAGGCTCCTCTTCATTAAGTTGAGTGACTGTATGACCCACAAAGGGGGCGATCAGCGACTAGATAGAAAGGAACTGACACATTTCTCAGCTACAAAGAAAAGGGCAGTCAGATCACAGATTTTGCTAATGGCCTATAACTAATAATGAAGAGGATGGTCCCTCGGTTGTGTATTTGCCATCCTCCTTTCATTGAGTATATTTTAGAAGTCTTTGGCTAATAATTGTACCTGACCATACTTTAAGAGAAACACCTAGATATGCTAGCAAAAATTTAACTGCCTTGGGATTAGACAGAGGCTGACAGTGTGGTTCCTGAGCTAGGTATAAGTCATTGGGGAGGGGGGGTGCTAAAGCCATTTTATGCCCAGCTAAAATGATACCTTTATTTACAGCCAAAGCACTGGCATCTTCTTGGCAATAGTGTCATCTTTCAGAGGTAGTCCTGGCTGGCAAATGGTACAAAGGTGTGCCTTGTACCAACAAGCTCCCTGGGAGACTGCAGGTATACCCAGAGTGAATCAGTGAACCCCTGGGCAAGTTTTGATTAGTAAACCTATAACTGTTTTAAGTTTCTGTTGTCATCTCTTCCATAATCAACTAATTATTTTCTCTTGATAGATGTTTGATACTGGGATTGCTGAGTGAGCACATTGGATTTTTTGAGGCTAAGGCATTCTCCAAGTTTAATGTACACAAGAAGCGCTTGGAGATCTTGTTAATACACAGGCAAATTTTTTTTAACAGCTATGCAATCGAACCAGATTATTTCTAACATGCTTCCTGGTGACTCCCAGTGTGCCCTCCCCCATTTTTAGTTGTAACTTTCTAATACCTTTGGTAAAGCTGCCTCACAGGAAGTAGACATATTTATTTTAACAGTTTTTTATAGTTATAAAGTGTTCTGAATTGTAAAAATATTTTTCCATACATTAATTCATTTTACTAGCCCAGGTCTCTAGGCTTTACCACCCACCTCTGCTTTATAGAACTGGAAATGTATTCCATATCACTAGGGAGTTTAAGAAGAGCCATGAGGCAGTAAGTTTCTTAAAACATTGTCATATTAGGAACTCCCAAGAAGTGTTGTGTTTAGTCAAGAGAGGCTATATTTGAAATTCCCTAGTCAAGAAGGCTGATTGATGGAGTTTTAGGTAAGGTGAAAGTCTACCTAGGGCCCTAAATGTGAATGCTACAGAAAAACTGACTTTACTCTGGTCTAAGGGAGAACCTTCTAGTTAACAATAATGTATAAATATAGAGGGGTGTTCTGTAAGAGGAGAAATTTTTATTACGGTGCATACTCAAGCAGATCAGCTGATGAATTGTTCACCGATCACAGGGCATGCAGGTGTGTGTGGTATTTATGTGGCTAAGTGTAGAGCTGAGATCAGAAATCTTGCTGTTATCAGTCAATGCTCTAAAACAAAGATGCTGGAAGGCTATTGATTGGAAAATGCCCTGGATATTGTGGTGGTTGGAAGGTCTTTTTCACAGATCCACACATTCAAGGTGTCCTGGAATGACCCTTACAGCATTCTTGGGAGAGTCCACAAACCATTCACTGAGAATTCCTGTCAGGAGAATATATTTATCAGTCAGCTGTTTTTTATCCTTTGTTTTTGACTACCTGTTATTTATTTAACCAAAATATTCAAACACAGTTCCCCTTTGCTAAGGAGCAAAGAACTGGGAGGACAGGTTCTCTCATTAAATCATTTTAGACCTTGGGTGAACCACACAAATCAAACTAGTTTTTCTGTAGATGAGCTAGCTCATCCTCACCCGTTTTTGCCGTATGATGCTTGTAGGCTCATGACTTCATGTGTGCCCTGTATTTTCTGGGGCAGCACTTGAAAGAAATAATCCCTCTGGAGCTGCAGGATCAGGAAGAAGACCTGAGCAAGCTGTTTACTTCCCTTTGACACTTCATAAGAGTGGCACGAGAAGTCTGCAGAAGTGTTTCTCCCACAGCACTGACTAGCGCATCTGTGACAGCCCTGAATCAGGGAAGCGCTCAGAGCCCAGGTTTAGAAAGCAGTTTTTATTGAGATACAATTTAAGATACCCCATATCCCTCCAGTTTTATGTGTAAAACTCAGTGGTTTTGCTAATTCAATGTTTCGGAATCATCACCCAACCAATTTTAGAACAATTTTATACCCCTCCCCTCACAAAGAACTCCTGTGTCCATTCAGTCAGTTCTCATTTCCCACCAACCAGTGAGTTTTCTATCCCAGCTCTAGACACTGCTAATTTACTTTCTAATTTTGTAGATTTTTTTTTTTTGAGAAAAGGTCTCATTTTGTAGCCCTGGCTGGACTGGACTTTACCAGAATAGGTTAGTTTTGAGTCACAGAGGTCCATTTGCATCTGACCCACTAGTACTGGAGATTCAAGGTGTGCATCACTACACCTGGCTAGATTGGCCTATTTTGAACATTTCATATAATTGGCCCATACAATTCATGCTTGTTGGTGCTGGCTTTTTTCCACTTACAAGGTTCATCCATGTTATAACATGTATTAAGACTTCACTCTGTTTGGTTTGTTTTTTTGTGTTGTTGGTGAATAGTATTTTATTGTATGGATACTATCTTTTTATTTATTCATTCAGTAATTGATAGATTTTGGTGAAGTTTCCATAACTTGTCTATAATGAACGATGTTGCTATATGTACTTGTGTGAAATTTTTTATGGTTGTATATTTTTATTTTTCTTGAATATATATCTTGGAGGTGAATTGCTGGGTCATGTTGTAACTTTGTGGTTGTCATTTGAGTTGCTTCTAGAATGTTTCCACAACAGCCACATCAATTTACATCCTTGCCAGTAATGCATGAGGATTCCAATTTCTCTATATACTTTCTAATACTTGTTATTTATTATTCATTTTTGGTTATAATTACCCTAGTGGATATGAAGCAAAAATCTCAATGTGATTTGATCTAAGTTTTCTTATAGCTAATAATGTTGACAATATTTGAATGAACATGGTTACTTACATATCATTTTGGGAGAAATGTTCACTCTGATGATTGCCAATTTAGTCTTTTTTTTTTAAGATTTATTTATTATGTATACAGTGTTCCACCTCCATTGTATGCCTGGTTGTGAGCCACCATGTGGTTGCTGGGAGTTGAATTCAGGACTTCTGGAAGAACAACCAGTGCTCTTAACCTCTGAGCCATCTCTCCAGCACCCCTTCTCCCCATTTATTCTTAATATTGACCTGTGAGCCTCTTTTTCTGTATCCTAGATGAATCCCTTATAAAATGTGTGATACTAACTCACCTTTTAACTTCATAGATTTCTTTGAAGCACAAAAGTTTTACTTTTGATCAAATACAATTTGTGTATTTTTCACTTTTGTTTTGTTTGTGTAGTTGGTATATTACCTAAAAAGACTTTGAGTACCTGTAGATTAAATCTTGAAAACCAGAATTTTTGTGGGGTTGTATTAACGAACCAGAGAAGAAGCTATGGCCTAGAACAGGTAGAAGAATCTTGGAACAGAAAGGGGAAGTAACTTTACCAGTGGAGGCAAACAAGGTTTGATAATACCTATCTATTCTTTAAGAAGTATTTTCAGTTTACCAGAGATTGTCTAAATTTGGCCTACAGTAACTTGTTTGGTTGTTCTCACAATCCCACGAAAGGGCAAATCTTTTTAGTTTTTGAGTGATAAAACCCATGTATAGATGAATTAGGTAAAATGTTGAAATTCATACAAAAGGGCTCTAAATTCTAGCTGTGTAAGTTCTTAGGATATGCTTTTCAACACTTCCTCCAACTCAGAAGTAGCAGGTGTGGTGATTTGTGTATTCTGTAAGCAGCAATTAAGATAATAATTTAATGAGAGTTAGTGGAAGAACTAGGCTGGATTATTTTGTTTTTTTTTATTATAATCCCCGGCTCTTCTCAGCAGACACAGCAGACATATTGGTAATAGTAGGTTTATCTCTAGAATTATTCCTAATTAACAGAAAAAATTCAAAGCCCTCAGAATGATCTACTCATTCTCTTAGGCATCGTATATTAACATCTTTCTAGACCCAATTTCCATATAAAACTTCAACATTTTCCCCAGATTTATCCATTACAATGTGTTCCACAGCTAAAATTTTTTGAAAATTCAATTTAATATTTTATTAATTGAAATATTAATATGTTTACATTTTGCTTGTAAGTCTTACTACTTATATTGTGTTTGTATTATATGTTCAATTTTGTACTTTTATGCCAAATTGGAGTAATACAATTTTTGATTCTTTACTATAGAAGTAGATTGTCTCCTACTACAATTTTAAAAGTGTCCTTAAGGACTGAAGTGTAAGATATATTTGGTTTTTCTTTCTTTCTTTTTTTTTAAGACTACAAAAGGTGTTTGTAACAGTCTCAATTTACTTGTTTAGTGTTGTCAAGAGGAAAAAAAATAAAATAAAAAGAAGTAGCATTGACTTAGGCCACCTAAGGCTGAGATGAGAGGCCATTGTTAACCAGATTTCAGTTTCCTCTTCATCCAA